TTCCTTCATTCCTTCATTCCTTCCTTCCTTCCTTCACCCTGCTGCCTCTACTGCCATTCTCTTCCTCCATTCCTTCCATTTCTACTGTTTCCTTATATTCCTTTCTTATACCATATTATATTTTCTACTACTTTTTATCCATTTTATTTAGTCCTCCCTCCATATTATATGTCCATTATTTTCTCCTTTCATATTTCTTCCTCACCTACTGTTTATTATTCCTTTTCCATTATTCCATACCTTTCTTCATTCCTACTACTACTACTCTTTCCTCTCTCTCTCTCTTATTTCCATTCCTTCCCTATTCCTCCATTTCTTCCATTCTTTTTTTTTTTTTTTTTTTTTTTTTTTTTTTTTTTTTTATTTTTAGAAAACTTCTTTATTTTCCTTCCATTTCCCTATTCCATATACTTTTTCTTCATTTATTTATATATATATATACTATATATATATATGTCTCTCTTTCTCTATATACTGCCTCTCACTACTATATATATATATATATATATATATATATATATATATATATATATATATATATATATATATATATATATATATATATATATATATATATATATATATATATATATATATATATATATATATATATATATATGTATATATATATATATATATATATATATATATATATATATATATATATATATATATATATATATATATATATATATATATATATATATATATATATATATATATGCTCTATATATATATACAGAGTGTTTAAAATTCGACTTCCACCATTGGGCTGTCGGAAACGGTAAGTGAAACAAAGTGGCTCAAATTGGAGAAAGTTAGCTATCGACGAGATCAATGATAATCCCTTTAGTAATAGAGCCTATTTCCGAAAATATGAAAAAACTGAAATTTCCTGTTTTCGTTTATAAACTTACGTGCATAGAAATCGGCCCATTGTGAACTTTTGGTTTTAACTGTATCTTTTAGAATCTATTTATCAGAGCAAGTAGAGAGTCAAATTGGAGAAAGTTAGCTATCGACGAGATCAATGATAATCCCTTTAGTAATAGAGCCTATTTCCGAAAATATGAAAAAACTGAAATTTCCTGTTTTCGTTTATAAACTTACGTGCATAGAAATCGGCCCATTGTGAACTTTTGGTTTTAACTGTATCTTTTAGGAGATGTTATATTTATCAAAGCAAGTAAAAAATATGAGCTGTTAAAGACATTAACATGCTTTAATAATGAGTATAAATTTTAATCCAGAGTAACTTATCATATTATATGCGTAGCATATAGGTAAACCAATGAAGGGTTTTTTGTGTTGTGGTGACAATAAAAATAACAAACTTGTCAAATATTGTAATTACTACTTTTGGTAAATCCAAATTGTTCACATTGTTCTTATTATTCTTTGTTTAGTTGTGTTTCATTGTTTGGATTAGTTGTTTTAATTTAATGCACACATCACTGGAAAAAGCCGCCCCAGAAATCGCTTTTATCGAAAATGGACTTAAACAGAGAGCTGTAGCTCGGCAACTACATATGACACGCGGAACGGTTCGAAGACTTGCGGCCGTATTCATAGTCGATCGCCAGCCGCCCGCTGGCGGGAGCTTTCCCGAAATTCTTCGTTCTTATTTCAGAGTCGAGCGCTCTCCGAATAACGCGTGCGCACATCCGTCATATAGAGTAACCGCTCTCTCGCCGGGCGGCGGGCGGTTGGATAAGCATTTTTTTCCGTTTCATATAGCGATCGTCCAGGCGAAGAAACACTTGCTGCCAGGATTTAAACCCATCCGGTTATTTCTGGCCGGCGACTGGAGCATGTCCTTGCCATCTCTGGGCGGCCCGCCAGTTTAGTCTTGTTTATTTCTCTAGTTGAAAGAAGTACCAAGCAAAGGCCAAAACTAAATTATATGGATATTTATAATATTTGTGACTCCGTAGGATTAACGAGAACGATGAAATTCGTATTTTTGAGGCCATTACTCATTACATTTGAGGCATATGAATTTCGTCGTTCTATTTGATTGCCTTTAAATGTTTTTATCGTTTTGTTTTTTGTTATGTTTATAATATTTTAATTTTCCCTATTCCGTTTTTACAGTTTATTACATTTAATTCTTCTTTATTAATTTACACAAAGCTCCCCCCCACTTACACTCATCCAGAGAGCGAGCTCACCGGTCATAATGAGTCGACTGGCTATCTATGAATAAAAGAGCAGTTAAATAGAGCCACATTTAAGAAAATATAAACTGTAAAACATCTACACTGGTCATATTTTTCCTTAAAATAATTTTAAAATCCTTAACACAGCACCAATAGGTTAAGGATAAGGTCTATAAAAATTTATAAACGTAATAAAAACGAATCCATAGAACTTTCAAATAACCGAACAGACCTATGCAATTCGCTTCATTAATTAGAATTATAACTTAATATAGCGCGCTCTTCTAAATATGACCCACAAAATATACGATAAGCGTTATGTAGTATATTGCCATCATACAAAAAAAAAATATTGTAAATATTTTTATCTATTTTTTTTTTTGTTTATTTAAATTTTCATATACTTTAAAACGAATTAAAACAAAATAATGGACACATCAATAAGAAATATTTAAATTATCCAATATCAATAAAATATTGGTAAATTATTAAATATTTAAAATATTTAGAGAATGTTAAAGTTCGTATAACCGATTTTGTGTAGAAAAAGGAAGAAAAAGCATTGTTCCCCTGTTGTTAAAGCCCTCCACCCGAAGTGAAGTTTTGTTGGCGACGCGCCGTCATTTTCGCCAGCCAGCGGTGCGCTGGTGGCCGACTGAAAGAGCTTTTTTTCCCTCCCGATATCGAAGCGCTCGCCGGAGAAATCTTCGGCGGGCGGCTGGCGCTCGACTATGAATACGGCCGTTGGTGTTCATCGTCAAGCACGCATGCGTTTTGCACGGGAACATCTGAATTTAGGACTAGAACAATGGGAATCTGTTTTATTCTCAGATGAGATCCGGATATGCCTCTATGGTAGCGACCAAAGAAGAAAAGTGTACCGGCGGCCAGGTGGGCGATTCGCAGAATGCTGCATTGAGGAGGGGATTACTTATGGAGGTGGTTCCTGCACGATCTGGGGTGCAATTTCTATGACTGCGCGAATCGCGCAGTTTTCATCTGTTAGGGCGACCGTCGGCACGGAAGAGGAAGGATTTAACTGGTGCTAGGTATATTTTGAGGAGATTTTAGCAGTTCATGTAATACCTTACGTCAACTACATTGGAAACGCATTCACTTTTATGCATGACAATGCAAGGGCACACACATCAAGAATCGTGCACGATTACATTTTAGAAGTCGGATTTCGGGTTATGAAATGGCCAGCATGCAGTCCAGACTTAAACCCGATAGAACATTATGGGATGAGCTAAAACGAAGAATTTGTGCTAGACGAAGAGCCCCCAACTTCTATCCCAGAGCTCATTGTTGCAGTAGAGGAAGAGTGGCTTAACACCCCGCAAGAAACAATATCAAATTTGATCGAATCTATGCCAAATCGTATGAGAGATGTTGTTAGAGCAAGAGGGGGTCATACCCATTATTGAAATTTTAATTTAGTTAATTGTCCATAAATAAATAAATAAATAATAACATACCTCTTATAGTAATAAAAAACGTTAATTTGTTTCGTACATTAATTTAATAATTTTAATCCAAAGAAACCAAAATACAAATTAATACCTCTAAACTCTTTTCAAAAAATATGAAATTGTCTTTCAAACAGCATATATTTTTTCTTATTCTGACAAATACATTCTAAAAAATATATAGTTAACTTCAAAAGTTTGCCTTGGGCCGATTTCTATGCACGCAAGTGTATTTTAAGAGTTTATTTTAAAGGGAAAGTCTATAAACTTATTCTTAAAGAATTTTGTTTTCAGAGAAACGAAACGTCTTAAATGAGTTTGACGTCGCCAAAAGATGAAACGATAAACACATTTCTTTGAGAATGTATTTTTTTTCCAACTGTTAAAATAAACTCGTTATTGATGCAAATTGTAGTTGGTTGTGATAGAACTTTGATCTCAAAAATCAAAATATATTTTTTAAATATTTTAAATGTTTGAGATAATATATTAAAATAAGTATAATTGCCATCAAAAAACCCTCTTAGATTTTTTTTACATGTATTTTCATGTTAATTAATCATGTCAAAAATTAAATTAGGTGATATTTGTAAAATGTTGGACTCACATTCATTTTTTTAGCGCTCTGTATTTGCGCGGCCGAAGTTCTTAGCAAAATTTTCACGACGTTTTGGATTGCGGCGCCGGCGTTGCGAAAGGATGAAATTAACCGTAGTCTGTGGGGGGCTTTAAATTTTGAAAATTGATTTCATTATAGTATATATACTTTATCTGAATATCTATGTCATCTATTTTTTTACAGAGTATTTTTGTTTTAAGACATACTTGCGATTATTAGTTCCTCTGTACACAAATTTACAAATTTTGCGATTGCACTTAAAAAATCACTGTCGAACCAACTCGAAACTAGTATTTCGCGTAGAGCTATGACGATGCCATTAGTTTTGCAGCGGCCGTCACATGGTGTTGGTGATGGTAAGCCAGTTCGTTGTTGGTCGTTGCTGAAGGGTTCGGGAACCCGAAAATTTGCTGATAAGGGTACGATGGTTGGTTTTGCAAGCAACTGAAACAAAAAGTGAACAGTTAAATACTGATTTAGCTCTTGAGGGGAGATCCACCTATTCAGGAATGTTTTTTTGTCTTTCTTATATCTTGGATGTAGTAATGCTTCTTTTCTCGGTAGAATTCTCGGTAAAGAAACTAAAAAAAACATTCCTGAAGAAGCACATTATATTAAATGCGAAACGTCGTGTAACGAAAGATTTTTGTTTTAATTGGTCCTAGTCACAACACCCAAAAAACAACAAATAAAATTTATTATACAATAGTGGAGTGCTTTAAGCCCTTATGAGATACAAACCTCGGAATTCATTTACTGTGAACGTATTTTTATAAAACTTTTTGCACTGCATTGTTAATAAGATATATTATAAAGTTTACCTATTTAAACTCGTTGCTTTGACTTCAGTATTTAAATAAACACACACATATACACAAATGCATATACATACAAGATGGCTCCGTTGTCCGGAAAAGCTCTGTATCAGGATGCCTATTTGAGATTTTCACTCCAAACCTTTTCTCCAACGAAATATATGTTTAATGGTAGTTCACATTTCAAAAATATTTTTATAGATATACAGGGTGAGTCAAATATATATCATTTATTTATTCGAGTTTAGTGAATTTGTTATAAAATTCTGGTTCCAAAAATACCTTAATACCATAGAGTATATTAAATGGTCTTTGAATTATGACCACGTCCATGAGGACGTCAATATAGACGTCCAGAAACCTTCGTATGAGAACTTCTAATCGAGACAATCGACTTATTGTAAGTTTATCGCTAAGAAACCGCCGTTTGCCAGCTTTTCAAATTGATAACGAATTGCACTTAAGAACCGTACATATTAACTAACGGACTACAAGAAGAAGATTAAATGAAGCAAATCTTATGTCAAGAAGACCTGCTTCGGGACCAGAACTTACTAGATGTGTTGACTAGGCCCAAAAGCAAAGGCATGGTCTTAATGTAAAAATTACGAAAAATGTTAGTGCCTTCTTTAAAACCGAATATTTCCAACAAAAATAAAGTTAATGTGATGAACCAAAAAACAAACCATCGAGAAAGGATGTATCTAGATGATAAAATAATTTTTAAATTTCTTGCTGTTTTAACATATTTCACAGGGTGTTTCAAACTTTCATCAAAAATATCAACATTTTGTTTTCCCTCGTATAATAAACAGATGGGGAGTTTCATTTTTAATTTAGAAAAAGATACTAAGAAGTTAAATAATTTAGCAACACACTGCTTAAAAAATCATCAAAATCGGCCCATTAATATAAAATATATTAACCTTTAAAATACATCAAAGTTTTAAGGTGCCCATTTTTCGTGCCGGTGAATGTATTTCAAAAACTATACATTTTAGTCATATAATTTTCTAATGGAACAAACCTTTATTTTTTTACTAGAATCCAAAAATTAATTAATATATAGGGTGTTCCATTACAAAAAACATAACTTTGATGTGTAACTTTTTTTGGGGACACCCTGTAGAACTCTACATAATTTTAGAAAATACTTTAAATTGACTTACATAAACTCAGAAAATTTCACTTCAATACAAACTTTTGTTTTGGTTTGGTTTGATTTGGTTTTAATCTTACCGTTTTTGAAATATTTACGATTTTGTGAAAATACAGTAACATTTTAATGCTTCATTTCTCATGCATATTTAAGTTTTTAAAACCAAATATTGTACTGAAGTTTTTCTGTTCACTACATTTTGTGTTGCAATAATAGAAATAAAACTACCTTATACAGAGTGTCTATAAATTTATTTTAAATAATTACTAGGTAAATGGAACACCCTGTATATTTTACGAGAAGATCATGTTCAGATGCACAATTTAATTATCTATCAAATTGTATTACACCATTTTTTACCTATCCTTTAAAGTTTTCGCAGAAAATACATTGTCTTAAAATTTAGACCTCATTTATCAATATACCCATGGAATATTGACATTTTAAATTATTTTTAAAGATGAACAATAATTGCTCCAAATACTAAAAAAACCTGAATTTTGTATGTGTATTTTATAAGACAGTGTGGTGTGTGGTAAAAAGTAGCACTTTATGAATTTTATTTAATTTTTTTAAGAATGCTTATTTATAACAACAGACGTTCGGATTCATAACTTATTATCATATTGATTTCTGATTGAAATCCAAATTTATTTAATTTATTATTTAAATAAAGGTTGTATATTTAATTAGTATATTATTTTACAAAGATTATACTTTTTGTAAAAAAATGGGCTAGTAAAGATTATATCGGTTTCAGCATCTGTACATTTGTTGTTTAAAAAAAATATCTGAAATGAGGTCCAAAATATAAGAAAATATATTTTGGCTCAAGAAAAAAAAACACTTTGCAGACCCAGTGTTATTAAGAAAAATATTTTTAAAATTTCCTCACCTGTATGCATCGTAGCCAGGTTCACTTTTGATTCCGCTCGTACTTGTTGCCGGCAACAACGAGGTCTGGCCCAAATAAGGCCTTTCTGTCGAAAATTGTGTCTTCTCTGTATGT